AGCTGGTACCAACTTGATGACACCTAACAACAACAACAATAAATCCAAAATTGTCTTCTACTTACTTTCTTATTGATAATGTTCTGCCACCAGAATGATCCATGGGAGTGCGATAGTGTTAGATCCACAAAGAATACAATTTGTTGTTGTGTTAAGTGTTGTTGAGTGGGTTCCAACTTGTAGTGTCCCTTTATAGGGTTTCTGAGGAGTAACTGGTGGGTTTGAACCGCCCACCTTGTGGTTTGCAGTCCAGTGCTGATCCTACAGTGTCACACTGAGAGTCCAAAGGGTAGAATGTTGTTAAAAGCCATCGAGTTTGTTCCGACCACAGCGACCCTGTATAGGGTTCCCAAGGAGCAGCTGGTGAGCTTGAACTGCTGACCTTGCAGTTCAAACATCTTTGCAGTCTGGTACATTAACCCACAGTACCACATTATATTAGTAGGTGTTCAGTGAGTGGAGTGAATGAGGGACTAAACAAATGAACAGTTATTTTAATCATTTCCATCCCTTGAATTTAATAGTCCTTCCAAAGGGTCTTACATATTTTTATAAATTTTTCTACCTCCTGGGGAGATTAGAAAATTGGAAATCAAGATCTTCAGCACAGTGATGATTGAAAAATCCAAGGTCAATAACAAGGTTGTGAGAGCGCCCCATCCACATTGCTTCTTGGTTTCCTGATTCCTCATTCACTATGCCCTCCAGATTCTTGATTTCAAGGCAAAAACATTTTATCCTCTTGCAAATAAATTAGATTATAATATATTATGCTTACGTTCATTCTTTTTTAACAAGGAGCTAAGTTACATCAAAATGTTAATTTATTCAATTTTTTTAAAAAAACAGATCACCTGGAGGTAGACCCATTCATAAGAAGGAAAGACAGAATTCACACTGGGACCCAGTGTCTTTAATATCTCATGCACTTAAACAGAAGTTTGCATTCCAAGAAGAGGATTCTTTTGACAAAGAAAATAGGTCTTGGGAGTCTTCTCCATTTTCTAGTCCAGAAACATCAAGGGTGAGTTATAATAATGTAAAATTAATTTTCCAGGTTTGTTTCCTAAGCATATTGCTCATAATAGATCTTCAACTTCAAGTTCTTTTGAAATAATTACGTAGAATGGGCTATACAATTGTTGATGCCGCTAACGTTTCTGTTGTTTTTGATAACTGTTTACGTGCTCTTCTTAGCTTTTAGCCTATTAGGAGATCTTTCTAAAACACTTGGTTTGAAAAATACTTGTTCATAAGTTTCTAGTGTTTATCTTAGGCACTTGCTTTGTTGTGTTGTGTGCAGTGTGGACATTTTGAGAGGACCAGGAAAGAATGGTGTTAGAGATTCGACCCAGCCACAGTTAAGCATGAATACTCGTAGTATTTTTCTATGTCAAACATAAAGTCATTGGTTTATTGGGTTACATCGTGTATTAATTGTGCTTTTAAAGCACATGAGGTCATAATTATCACTAATGACAATGCTTAATAGATGTTTAAAAGGACACACATTGCATTTCAAATACGTGATCCTTAAGATTGCTTCGGACTTGAAGTATCTTTTCTTCAGACTTAAGTTTAATTTTGGGGGTAGTTTTCCCATCTTAAAATATAATTGAACCCCCTTCCAAGACTAAGACTCAATGGGAATACATGCTCTGATTGGTGACCACGCTCGTCACTGATAGGGAAGTGAGAGAAAAACAGCAATGAAGTGGTGAGCTAAGCCCTACAATGTGGAGAGTGAAGCATTCAGCTGATAAAAAGAGAGGGCATATGCACAAGAACACCCACACTTGCAGATAATACCCACTTGACC